GGGACTGAGATTACCGCAGTGCTGTGCACAGTAAGTCTTCCTACTTGGGGTGCTGGGAAGCAGTGGGGCTGAGATTACCTCAGGGCTGTGCACAGTAAGTCTTCCTACTTGGGATGCTGGGAAGCAGTGGGGCTGAGACTACCTCAGTGCTGTGCACAGTAAGTCTTCCTACTTGGGGTGCTGGGAAGCAGTGGGGCTGAGATTACTGCAGTGCTGTGCACATTAAATCTTCCTATCCGGGGTGCTGGGAAGCAGTGGGACTGAGATTACCACAGTGCTGTGCACATTTAAGTCTTCCTTCCCTGTGGCGTGAAAGTGAGAATGGTATTGACTTCTTACTTACCTTGCCTATCTTGATGCATGCATTTATAGTATCCAGCAAGTCAGCCTTTTTCTCATTTACAGGCACTTCTCCTAACTCCTTCCCTATTAATTCACCTGCCTGATAGCCCATTGTTGCTTCAAATGCAGGATTTGCATACTGAGGGAAGACAAAAGAAAAAAACATCAAGTGAATTAAAAATCATTTTGAAAAGAGGACAGTCAAGGTTCTTTGGCCCTAAACCGGTTTCCTCTCCAGAAAGCTCAGAAGCCTGGACCTCACCAAGCAGTTCTCAAGCCACAAGTGTGCAACTCCTGTGGGAATTCTGGAACCTGGAGAAGCTTCTGCTGGGGCAGCTGCCTGGACTCTGCCATACTCCCCTGGGGCCACAGGAGGGCAGAGGAAGAGGTCTCACAGGTGACACCACGGCTGCTTCACCTGGGCTGTTTGGGTGGTGGCTCAACGGAACAGAGCAGCAGACTAGAGTGGGAACACTCAACTCCCCACCCCACGATACAGTCCAACCTCTGCAAGCCACTCCGCCCCTCTCAGACTCAGCCTGCTTATCTGGGTAATGGGAATGAAATGTATCTCTTGCCTCCTTCCTGTGATTTGAATGTGTACCGAGGGAGATAAAAGAGAAAACATCAAGTGAATGTTGGTGTGTGTGGAAAGCAGGCTATGAACTAGGAAGTGTTTACAAACGTAAGGCTGGTTAAGTTTCAGATAAGAGCACTGGGTGAGGGGGATGTGTAAGAAAACTGCGTGTGCTGATGAGCATGAGGAGCAGTGACTGACACCAGCCATCATGGTCTGTTCTCCTGGATGGACACCAGAGTCAGTGAGTGCTTTACACACAGGAACTCATCTAGTCCTCACAACAGATGGACTGCTGTTATTAGTATTATTCCCACTTGCACAGATGAGAAAGCACACTCAGCTGGATTGAGTGCCTTGCTCAAGTTGCTCTGCCGAGGCAGGTCTGTCTACAAAGCTTGCACCCCGGCTGCCGTGGCCACACAGGGCAGCAGCCCCTGAGTGTCAGTACCACCCACTCTTAACAAGCAAATCACAGATTAGATTAAAGGAAGGACTGGTGAGCCCAAAAGTAATCAAAATAGAGTTAACTCTCAGATAAAAGAATGCTTCCTTGGCCCAACCCCTTTCTCTGTTATGTAAAAGTACAAATTATATATATATATGTATATATATATATATTTTTTTTTTTTGAGACAGAGCCTCAAGCTGTCGCCCTGGGTAGAGTGCTGTGGCATCACAGCTCACAGCAACTTCCAACTCCTGGGCTCAAGTGAATCTCCTGTCTCCGCCTCCCAAGTAGCTGGGACCACAGGCGCCCCACCACAACGTCCGGCTATTTTTTTTTTGGTT